CGGTGTGTTATTTCAAGCTTTCAGCCGTCCAGGCCCTCAGGCACGTGCCCTGCTCGCCTGGGGGGTAGCCAGGACCGTTACTCCGTGTCCTCCGCCTGGCTGGTGTTGCCGGCAGGTTGGTTCCCAGGCGCTCCCGCCTGGCCGGTGTAGCCTGGTGTGTTTGTCTTAAGCGCCCTGCCCGTCCGTTGTAGCAGGGATTCCTCCTACGTCGTAAGTTCAGCGTTCGTCTGCCTGCCCGTCCGCCTGTGTCGTCTGTTGTTCTTCTTCGTCGGAGGGAGACGCCGGCGTTGGAGCAAGGACCCGAGATCAGCTCGACGACGCCGGCAGGTTTACGTCTAACGGTACGCACCCAGGCCCTGGGTTCGGAGTTGCCGCCGGCAATCCAGGATGACTTCGTTATGTCCGTTAAGTCCTCGGCGTCCAGTTCCAGGGGCCGTGCCCTGGACAGGGAGGTGGCCCCCATGTTGCCTGGGGCACGGTCCATCTCCGGACACGGCTTCCTCCAGCAGATGGCGGCGTCGAAGCGTCGTCGGGAACGTCGTATATTTAATGATTCCCATTCTTTGCCTTCCTAAGACACTGTAAATTAAGACTTTCTCCCACTTTATATGGAAGGTTTTCTTATTTTGTACTAGCAGACTTCTCGCGTCATGCCCTGCCCTTATTCATATTTATGTTCTACATTTCAGACTGACATGCCTCTGCTTTCAGATCACCTCGGACTCATTTTGCCACCAGCCTAACTTATTTTACTCAGGCATTTGTGCCTTGTGCATGTCGCACGTTCATATCTTCGCGTTCGCTGTGTTACAGTATGCTTGTTCACTTTTCCTTGTCATTAAGTAAGGTCAGCCAGGATGTCCTATTGGCAGAGTTATAAGTAATTTATTAAGTAAAGTCAGCCAGGAGGTGCTATTTGCAGTATTTGCGGGCCCCCTTAATTTGCTTTACGTTCCCTGGCCCTGCATTTTGCCTAGTTTCCTCAGTAGTTACAGTACTTTCGCTTGGCTCTTACAGTTTATTCACGTCGCTTATTTGGATTATATTTACGTTATGCATCTCTTCCGTTCTCTTAACGTAAATGGCTTTATATCCACGCCGATTGTATCCACTTTTTTGTAATTGCAGATACCACGTGACATGCCTGCCCTATTCATAATTATGTTCTACATTTCAGCGCTAACATGCCTCCTGTTTCAGGTTACCTCGACTCTCTTTCCCAAACAGCCTCCTTAATTTACCCCGACAGTTGATGCGTTGCTCATGTCGCACGTTTATTTTAGCGTTGCTGTGTTCAGTACGCTTGCCCATGTTACCCTGCCTTACCTCATTAAGTAAAGTCAGCCAGGATGTGCTATTTGCAGAGTTACTAAGTAAATTATTAAGTGAAGTCAGCCAGGCAGTGCTAGTTGCAGAGTTACTAAGAACTTATTAAGTAAAGTCAACCAGGATGTGTATTTGCAGAGTTCCTAGAATTATTAAGTAAAGTCAGACAGGATGTGCTATTTGCAGTATTCGCGGGCCCTTATTTTAGCTTCACGTCTCCTGGCCCTGCATTTTGCCTAGCTTCATAGATAGTTACAGTAGCTTATGCTTGGCTATTGCAGTTTATTCACGTTACTTATATGGTTATATATTTATGTTATGCTTTTCCTCCGTTTCTTAATGTAAAAATGGTTTTATTTATTCTAGGGCGAAATGTTCCATTTAGCCTACCACAATTTAATACATCTTACTTATTTGGTAACATTTGTGCTGTGCTTCATTTATGGTTGTCATTAAATTTGTTTCTATTTATTATAGGGCGAAATGTCCCATTCACCACTATTCCTCCCTGTTACTTATTTGGTTACACTTGTGTCGTGCATCCTTTATGTTTGTTATAAAAACATTTTTTACTATAGGGCGAAATGTTACATTTAGCTTACGTTATTCTTTGTCTCTGCCATCCTTTGTTTATTTCCTTGGCAGTGTCTTCAGTTAGTAGTCCCCTTTCCTTCGCTGTTGTTTCAAGGCAGCCATGATGCGCGAGGTGCAGTTGTGGGCCCTCGCCTCTTGCTTTATGCTTCTGGCCCTGCACTTGTTGGGTTCTCCTTTCTTTTATTCTCGTTTACGCCTAGCTCTCGCTGTTAGTTTGTTCTTCCCCCGGTTCCTCTGTCGTTCAACTACTCTTGTTGCTTCTACGTCTGTAAGGTCTGCTAGTTCGCCTTGCCTTCGGTGTTGCGGGCCCCTTGCTTCTTGCTTGTCTATTCAGGCTACGTTTTCCCCCCTTCTCTGGGGTCTCTTTTTTTTTTTTCATTGGGTTGGTTAACTTTTCTTTCTGTTGCTCAGTAATTCCTTAGTCTCCTTCGGGTGTTTGCTAGAGCTTTGCCTTTATGTTTTGGGTAATTTCAGACGCGTCGGGCTCGTTGCTGTGTTACGGGCCTCTTGCCCTTGCTTAAGTTATTTGGGCCTGTTCGACAGCCTTCCCCTGTCATTCGCCTCCTGCAGGCTATGCTTTGTCAGCTGCTTGTCTCTTTTGCCGGCTTACTTTTATGCTTCTCCCCTTCCTGTCTAGGATGTTTAGGTATGGACAGCGGGGCGCGAGCCACGGCTTATCGGTAGCCCCCCCCCCCCCCTGGGTCCCTGTTTACTCGGTCTCGCCCTCTTACTTCCGCATTCTTCCTTCCCATTCTACGTTATCGCTTCTCGTTTTTGGGCCTTGTCCCTTCCCTGTACGGGTTGTGTGCTGCCCAGCGCGCCTCAGCGCCGTTATCTTCTCTTCGGCCTCTGTTTGACGGCCCCTCCCCCCCAGCCGTGCGGGCACGCCCGTGGGAAACGTCTCCTTGGTTCCTCCTACGTCTGCTTATCTTACCCCCCCCCATCCCTCCTTCGTGCCCGTGGGATTCTGTTTCTTCCCGTTATGTTATGTTATGTTATGTTATGTTATGTTATGTTATGTATGTTATGCTAGCAGGTGCGGCAGCCGGGTATTCCCCCTGCCTGTCGCCAGGTTAGTCAGGCTGTCACTAACGTTCCCCCTTTCCGCAGTGGCGAGAAGACGGACCACCCAACATCTGCAACGCGGAAGAGGGCTCGGACGGCGTCAACGCGAGGACAGCAACGTAGTGGAGCACGGACACAGCCGGCCAGGGCGCGGACCAAGCCCGCACGCTTTGCCTCCCCCTCTACAGAGCCCTCCTCGGCTGGCTCGGACACGGACACCGGGCGCACTCCTCAGCTGCACAATTCGGGCAAAGCAACGGGTGGCACAGTGACACAACTCCCACCCCTTTCAGCAGATGACTGGACGACGCTGCAGGCCCTCATTGCGCAAGCACGTGGGCCCTCCTCGGGCGCAGCTCTCCGCGACGGAGGAGGTGCCTCGGCCGCCCCTGCCCTGGCCACCCCTGCTCCGGCCGCGCCAGCCCCCTCGCCCTTCTCCTCCGAGCGTCGCCCTCGATACAGGGCCAGGGGGCATACGTCGAGGCGCCGTGCCAGCTCCTCCAGCCCGTCCTCTTATGGTGAGTCTCCCAGGGTGAGCGCTTCTTCCCCACCTCCTAGCCCTTGGCTGGGACACCTTCGGGCTCCCCAGGCTTCCACCATCCCACTCCTGGGCGTACATGTACCACAGGCCCTCCGGGAAAAGATCTGGGCTAAAAAGTATGTTGACCTCAGGGAGTTGCTCAATCATGAGCGAGAAGCAGGACCCTACGAGCCACGCCCCACGCCCCCCACTGACCCCCAGGCGTCTGGTAAGAAGCAGATGCCCCTGACGCCAGACCAGTGGGAGCACGGCTTTGACATCTATGCCACGCTCTACATAGAGAAGCACCCGGCCGAGGCTCAGGCCCTGCTCACCTACACCCGCTACGTCAAGACCATGAAGGTGACCCTCAAAAACGACTGGATGTGGTACGACAAGGCCTTCAGATGGGACAAGGAGAGGTCGGACTGTTCTTGGCTTGATTACAGGCTGGACCTGGAATTCCGCTCGATACAGCGGGTCGCACACGTTGCTGTCCAGACAGGCAGACAGGAGGCAGGTCGGCCGGCAGCCCTTTCCCTCTCTAGCGCCCGGGCCGCAGGGCTCCCCCCGGGCTACTGTTTTGCCTACCACTCGAGAGGACCCGGCTGCACTTTTACTTCCTGTGCCTTCCAGCACTACTGCCCGCGCTGCCGAAGGAGGCACCCGGCCTACACCACGTGCCCCCCAGCCCACATACGCGACAGACCCACCCATGACCAGCGCCCACGAAGACAACCACGGGACAAGGCTAAGAAGAGCGCCGGCAGTAACAACGCCGGTGGACGCCGACGCCCTTGATGCTTTGCTGGCGGGTTACCCCCTGCGAGACTACGTCGTGGGGGGTTTCAGAGGGGGGTTCCTTCTTGGCTTTGAAGGAGTGCGAACCCCCCTTACTTCACGCAACCCCCAGGCTACGACGGACCTCCCGCACATCGTCGGGCCCATGCTCGACAAGGAGTTGAGTCTAGGACGCATCGCGGGCCCCTACGAAGCCCCCCCTTTCAAGAATTTCAAGTGTTCGCCCATAGCACTGAGGGAGAAGTCTACGCCGGGCAAGTACCGCCTCCTGCACAACCTTAGCTACCCTTACTCCCCTGACAGTGTGAACGCCAACATCCCACGGGAATCGACGTCCGTCACCTACCAGTCTATCCATGATGCAGTGACAATGGTTGTCAGCCGGTCCCCGGGGGCTCACCTGGCAAAGTGCGACATCGCAGAAGCTTTCAGGATCGTCCCAGTACACCCGAGCGACTACCATCTCCTGGGGTTTTCTTATGGGGGCAAGTACTACTACGAGAAGATGCTCAGCATGGGAGCCGCCCCCTCCTGCCGGATCTTCGAGTCCTTCTCCAGTGCCCTGCAATGGATCCTCGCCGAGAAGTTCGGGGTCCGTGACGTCGTGAAGGTATTGGACGACTTCCTCTTCGTCAGTTTCACGTTCGACGAGTGCCAGCGAAGCCTGAGGGTGTTCACCGCCCTCTGCGAGCGTCTGGGGGTCCCCTTGGCACCTCACAAAACGCAGGGCCCGTGCTCCTGCCTCACGTTCCTGGGGCTGGAGATTGATGCTCACAGGATGGAAACAAGACTACCAGAGGACAAGAGAACGAAGTACACGGCAGCGGTCGAAGTCGCGCTGAGTCAGGAGCGCATCCCTCTCCGAGACCTGCAGGCGATCATCGGGAAGTTGCAATTCGCCACCGCGGTAATCCCGGGAGGACGGGCCTTCTTGCGTCGTCTGCACCCGCTTACGCGAGGCCCACAGCGTCCCTCGCGCCTATGCCATTTGGACGCGGAGGCTAAGCACGATCTCGTCGCCTGGCGCTCCTTCCTCACTGATTTCAATGGAGTAACAGTTTTTCCCCCAGATGGCGGGTGGGGAAACGCCCCATCACTTTCAATGTGTGCAGATGCTTCTTCCAAGGGGTATGGACTAACGCTAGGGGCAGCCTGGTTCAGGGGAACGTGGCCTCAGGTCTGGGGTCGGCTCAACATTGCTTTGCTCGAGCTCTACCCTTTCTTCATGGGCATAGCACTTTTCGCCCCGGTATTGGCCAATAAGAGGCTGGTGTGTAAATCGGACAACAGTGCAGTGGTAAGCGTGCTCAACACACTCTCTGCTAGGTGCCCCCTACTAATGCAAATTGTCAGGCCCTTGGCAGTGCTCTTACTCATCCATAACATTACACTCCTACCCTCCCACCTCCCAGGAAAATTAAACGGGGTTTGTGATGCTCTTTCCCGCTTACAGACGCTGCCGCCCTTGTTCCTGCGAGAAGCAGGCCTCGCCGAGACGCCGACAACAGTTCCTGCGCACCTCCTGCCCTGCAACTTCACCCTGCAACTGTGAGGACCCTATTCAACTCCCTGCAGCCAGCTACGAGGCGTACTTACAGGGCTAAGTGGGTGGAGTACGCCGCCTACGTCTCGGCAGGGCGGCGAGGAGAATGCCCCTTCGATGCTGCACCTTCGACTCTGGGGAACTTCCTGCAATCCCTGCTCTCGTGGGGCCTGGCTTACCGCTCTCTGCACGCCTATCTAGCGGCCATCGCCTTCGTCTGCAAGCTACACGGTAGGAGGGACCCAACTCGGCAGTTCCTCGTCACCCAACTCCTCAAAGGGGCACGTAACTCCGCACAGCGGGCCCCTGCACGGCGTCTCCCTGTGACGAGGAGCCTCCTGCATCGCCTGCTGCGGGCACTGGGAGGCGTATGTAACTCTGCCTATGAGAAGTCCTGCTACAGGGCGCTCTTCTCCCTGGCTTTCCACGCCTGCCTACGCCCGGGGGAGGCGGTCTACGTGGACCATGGACGACACACGCTCAACCTTGAGCAGGTATCACTTACGACGGCAGGAATAGATATCGTCTTCAACACCTACAAGCACAGTGCAGGGCGCACGCCCACCCTCTCCCTGAGAGCGAACCCTTCCAGCAAGTACTGCCCGGTCCGTGCCCTGTCTAAATACTTTAATCACAGGGGCCTGGGCCCGGGGCCCATATTCAAACACGCCGCAGGCGCTCCTGTCACCAGGCGAGATTTCTCCATGATCCTACGCTCTGCCCTCACGGCGCTAGGCTTGCCTCCAGATGACTACGCGCCGCATTCCTTCCGTATCGGCAGGGCCACCCAGCTGTCTCGGGATGGGCTCGCCACTTCAGAAATAATGGCTGTCGGCAGGTGGAGGAGTAGTGCTTTCACATCCTACGTCAGGCGGGACGTTGTTGCTCTGCCACTTTGAGTGCCTCATGCGGCCAGCTGGCACTCGCCCTTCGGGGGGGGGGGGGGGGGGTCCGGCCGCTGGCCTGCGGTGGGGGTGCAGCGCCGGTCCCCAAGTGTCCCGCTGTCCGCAGCTAATACTTTGCCCAGTCTAGGTGCTAGTAAGCCCTACTTGTAGTCACCCCCTTCTCCTTATTCATTAGGTCTTTCCGGCCTCTTGGTCGGGTACATTATGTGTTATGTGGTCTCTCACTTATTAGTTACTCTTTGTGTCCTGCCTGTTATATCCTAGTGTTATATAATTACTCACATTTGCATTCGGCCTTAATTCTAGTACCAGTTAAGCTTTACGTTTCTGCAGAATTAGTTTCCATGTCACTATAGGCTAAGGTCTCATAATTACTACGGGTGTACCTTTTAAGTTAAATCTAGTCCTCGGACTTGGAATTGTTACTGTTAATTCTTACTTTATATATTTACATGTTCTGCAGAATTTAATCTTCAATAAACTTTAACGCCCCATGCTGCCAGTATCTTTCTCCCCCTGGTCAGAAAATGGTCACTGCTTGACGCAAGCGGGGATTTTTCTGGCGGGGGAGAAAGAAACAATTGCGGCCCTCACTCCGCCTGCCCTCGCCGCTGCCCTCGCAAAACCCCACCCTCCCCCCCTTTGCAAGCGGCTGCTTTTGTACCCCCGTCATGCTTTGCTCAGTTGTCCCGATTGTCTCCCCACTGTATGTGGGAAGGGGGGTGCAGCGCCGGTCCCCAAGTGTCCCGCTGTCCGCAGCTAATACTTTGCCCAGTCTAGGTGCTAGTAAGCCCTACTTGTAGTCACCCCCTTCTCCTTATTCATTAGGTCTTTCCGGCCTCTTGGTTGGGTACATTATGTGTTATGTGGTCTCTCACTTATTAGTTACTCTTTGTGTCCTGCCTGTTATATCCTAGTGTTATATAATTACTCACATTTGCATTCGGCCTTAATTCTAGTACCAGTTAAGCTTTACGTTTCTGCAGAATTAGTTTCCATGTCACTATAGGCTAAGGTCTCATAATTACTACGGGTGTACCTTTTAAGTTAAATCTAGTCCTCGGACTTGGAATTGTTACTGTTAATTCTTACTTTATATATTTACATGTTCTGCAGAATTTAATCTTCAATAAACTTTAACGCCCCATGCTGCCAGTATCTTTCTCCCCCTGGTCAGAAATATTCTTTAGTTCATTGGTCTTGCATTTGACTTGTACTCTTCTCAGCAATTTTGTTGCATTTTAAGCATGGCTCCTGCTTTTTGTTTTAATTTACTTATCTCTGGCTTTCCATTGATGTTTTGTTTAATCTTGCTTACAGTCTTGAGTCACTAAGTCCCTTTCAGCTAGGTCGTACTAGTTGTTGTGTATACAGGTTGGCCCCCCCCCCATTTCTTCTCCATTCCTCGTCCTATTTTTTCATACTTGCAAGTTATTCTATTTAAAGGTTAAATAGAATAACTGGCTATTAATAATAATTATTAAATGTTAAATAATAATAATTATTTAACTTGAACAATAGAATAAATTCTTTCATACTTGCAAGTTATTCTATTTTAATGTCAACTATTCCTTTGTTCTTAAGTACTTAAGCCCTTTCCTCGGGCTTGGTCCTGCTTTTTCTGTCAGTCGGCGTTAGGCGACGTTTCTCTTCTCACTTCCCTTTATTCTCGTTTCTTCCCCAGCCTCACGGCCCCCCTCTTGCCGCCAGGTTCGGGAGGCATGCCTAGGCTCCGCGCTCCTTGCTGCTGTTGCTCTCCTCCTTCATCAGTTTCTCTTCAGCCCTTATCGAGCATTGGTTATCTGTCCGTTATTCTCACTCACTATGGTCACTTAATTTTACCTTTGCATTTGTTTACTTGTGTACGTGACGTTTGCTGGTGCGGCAGCTGGGTCTCCCTGCCAGCTTTTTCCCGTTAGTCCTACCGATGCTTACGTTTTATCTTTTCGCAGTGGCGAGAAGCCGAAACACGCAGCAACTGCAACACGGAAGTGGGCTCGGGCGGCGTCGACACGAGGACAACAGCGCAGTGGGGTGAACACGCAGCCGGCCAAGGCCCAGACGAAACCCGCCCGTTTCGCCTCCCCCTCCTCGGGCAGCTCGGATACGGACGGCGACCACACTTCCCAGAGGCCCCCTGCTGGCAAAGCGGCGGGTGGCACAGCCTCGCAGCCTCCACCCCTTTCGGCCGACGAATGGACGACGCTGCAGGCACTCATCGCACAGGCTCGGGGGCCCTCTCATGTCAACAGCCTTCTTGGCATGAGGACCACCGAGGCCGACCCTGCCACGGCTGCCACAGCCATCCTGCCCTCCCCGACTGACCGTCGCCCACGGACCAGGGTCAAGGGGCATACGTCGAGGCGACGTGCGAGCTCCTCCAGTCTGTCCTCTTACGATTAGTCCCCTGAGGAGAGAGCGCCCCCCCCCCTCTTACTAGCCCCTGGCCAGAGCACCTCCGGGCGACCCCGGGCTCCAGCATCCCACTCTTGGGCGTGCACGTCCCACAGGCTCTTCGGGAGAAGGTCTGGGCAAACAAGTATGTAGACCTCAGGCAATTGCTTGCCTACGAACGGGAAGCAGTATCTTTCGAGTCCCACTCTGTGCCAAACCCTGACCCCCAGGCGGCTGGTAAGAAGCAGCCGCCCCTGACGCTGGACCAGTGGCAGCATGGCCTCAACATTTACGCGACTATCTACGTCGAGAAGTACCCAGCCGAGGCCCAGGTGCTGTTCACCTATGCACGTTACGTGAAGACCATGAAGACGACCCTCAAAGGCGACTGGATGTGGTACGACAAGGCCTTCAGGTGGGACAGGGAGAGGTCGGGCTGTTCATGGTTGGACTACAGGCTGGACTTGGAAATTTGCTTGGTGCAACACCTCGCCCAGGCCGCTGCTCAGCCGACGTGGCAGGAGGCGGGGCGACCGGCAGCCCTTACTCTCTCTAGCGCCCGTGCAGCAGGGCTCCCTCCGGGCTACTGCTTCACCTACCACTCGAGGGGACCCGGCTGCACTTTCACCTCATGTTCATTCAAGCACTACTGCCCGCGCTGCCGAAGGAGGCACCCTGCCTACAGCCCATGTCCTCCAGCACGACCCCGTGATGAACCCACCCAAGAGCAGCGCCCCAGTCGCCACCCACAGGTTAGGGGTTCGAAGAGCTAGGCTTGACTCCAACTGGTTACGCCCCTCACTCTTTGGACTTGGTGGGGCCCTCAGCCGCCTCTAGAAGGGTTTGCCGAACGGCGCTATGGCGGTCGGCAGGTGGAAGAGTGACATTTTCCTTCCTAGTTGGGTAGCCGTAGTTGCTCTGCCACCCTGAGGTTTTCCCTCGCGGCCAGCGGGCACTCGCCCTTCGGGGGGAGGGGGGGGTCCGGCCTGCTGGCCTGCGGAGTGGGGGTGCAGCGCCGGTCCCCAAGTGTTCTGCTGTCTGCAGCTACTACTTTGACTTTACAGCCATTCTACTAGAAAGCAATAACTTAAGTCAGGAAATTCGTTCTCCTTATTCCTTGGTGGCACGGCCTCTGGCCTGGGGTTATTTTCTTCTCCAAATTCATATCAGGCTGTTCCAGTCTCTATGTAATTTTCTGCCGCCTGATTATTTTCCATTTTCCAGCTAGGGTTTACCATTATGTTATGTTGTTCACTTACAGTATATATTTTACTCATGGTGTCCTGACTGTTATACTTAGAGTTAGATTTATGTTACATTCGCCTCACTGCTAATTCTAGACAATAGGCCATTAGGTTTCTGCAGAGTTTGTTACTAGGCTATAAGATTACTTTTATTTTACTACGGGTGTACAATTTAAGTTATTTCGTGTACTTTGAGTTAGCCACGGCTATGTTATACAATTGTTAAGACTTACTTAGATGCCTGTTTTACTTCTGCAGAATTATTTACCTGTACTTCTACTACGTAATAAATAAGCCCCCATACTGTTGGTGTCTTCCTTCCCCTGATCAGAAAAACAAATCCACAGGAGCCGTGATGAAAGTTCGAATCTATGCGCTGGGTGTTGCCAAGCACACTCTAGTCGACTACACCATGACATGGTCATAAGAATTGCATCCTGGGGTACTACTGCACCCTCAAGGATACCGAGGCTTCCACTGAAGCCAAACTGGGGTTTCACACAATTCCCCCATGCACTCGGGCTCTGTCGTCCAGTAGGTCTACCCGATAATGTGATTTCTCTGTGTATTGAAAGAGGGGCGTCAGGGGTAGAACTGTT